GGCCAGAGAAATCACAGGAAAAAATTCCCACATGTGATGTTTTGCACTCAGAGAAGTAAAGTAAAGACGTGAAGATTAGAGGACATACCAAACAAGATAAACATTCAGAGCCATCAGTCAGTCAGTTGCCTTCTCTGCAGTGGACTGCAATGGACAACCAACAACTCTGTCTCTAATGGACATCCAACAACTCTGTCTCTAATGGACATCCAACAACTGTGTCTTTAATGGACATCCAACAACTGTGTCTCTAATGGACATCCAACAACTCTGTCTCTAATGGGCATATAACAACTCTGTCTCTAATGGACATCCAACAACTCTGTCTCTAATGGACATCCAACAACTCTGTCTTTAATGGACATCCAACAACTCTGTCTCTAATAGACAACCAACAACTTTGTCTCTAATGGACATCCAACAACTCTGTCTCTAATGGACATCCAACAACTCTTGTCTCAAATGGACATCCAACAACTTTGTCTATAATTGACATCCAACAACTCTGTCTCTAATAGACACCAACAACTCTGTCTCTAATGGACATCCATTCAAATTACTCAGTCTCTAATGGACATCCAACAACTCTGTCTCTTGCCATGATTGTATCTCTCAGACTGTTGTTCATCCATATCTTAGTGTTATGCTCTCACTGTAGCCTTGTCTACCTCTTGCCCATTTGCCTTCAACTTTTCTCCAAGAAAAGCATTGTTTTACCACATTACATCCTAGACATTTCCTACTTGTTCAAAGACATGTCTGGATCTAAATGGATTCACATATTAGAGCTGACAGAGGAAATAAGTTAAAGTAACAACTGAGACAGCATGGGCTAATGCAGCAGCTTGTTGAGAATTAAGGAGGTAAGAAAAATAAAAAATAAAAATCACATGATGTAAAGTAATGTAAAGGATCCTTGTAACATATTGAGTCTACTGGGCATAGAGAGCAAGACCAAGAGCAAGATCTGTACAGACCAAACAGCACTCCATGGATCATGTCCCAGGACATCTTTTGGTACCCATTTTTAGCTGTCCTCCTGGGAGCCTAGATGTTAAATAATCTGATGCAGCTTTGAACCCAGGACCTCCGTGCAGCAGACAAGAGTCTAGCCACTATACTACCACAGCAATGGTGTCAAGAGTCACAAGTAAACATGGTGAGATTGTTAAAACAATGTTTTCGTAGCCTGAAAAATTGACCCCCGCTGACTGGAAGAGCCACTGTTTAGATGGTAATTACACAGGAGCAAATCCTAGAAATCATGCTCAACAGTATAACACAATTATTATATTGAGGCACATGGCGATAACAAAGTGACCTGCTGTCCAGTGTGAGTGGGTAAGATACCTGGTAATGAGGGAGTTAAAAATATAAGCATGTATTCTAATTATACCTTCTCTTGCCCAGAAAAGTTATGACAGTCTGATATAGAAAGAATTAATGTATGTCAGAATATATCAACACATGGTTAAGTAGACCTTTCAAACATGGCAAGTGATTTCTCTATAATTCTTGCTTCACAAACCAAGCGACCAAGTAAAATTCTAAAAGGGACATCACCTGGCGTTTTCTCAGTTGTGTAGCTGGTTGTTGTGGTAGTCTCAGCACCATCAGGGCCTTTTGTTGTTGTTGTTTTGGTTGCCATGGCACTGTAGGCTGCTAATTTTTTAGCTTTCTCTTCTTCTGCAGCCCTGTTGTAAAGTGAATAATCATTACTTACAGTTATTGATTCTTTGTTTCAGGGGGCACAGTTCCACAAATTTTCCACATTTTGCAAAAAGTATGCCATTTTTGTTTGCCTTTCTATTGTCAGACCTTTAATTGTCACAATGTAATGTACTCTGTGCTCCCTGAATTACAAACATCATACCATATACATTATTTGTGTATTCTTGAAACTGTTTATCTAAATTAATAGGTATTGAATGTTATATTTTTTATTTAGTGCTTGCATAAGCACACAAACAATTTCCATCTAACAATCTGCCAGCATGTTGCTATAAAAATTTCCATTTGAAAAACTGAGTAGATACATGGAAAATATCTTCATTTTCTGCAGGAGATTAACAATACAACACTAATTCATAAAATGTTAACCAACACCAACAAGGTAAAAAAAAAAGAATTAATGTGTGTGAATTTTTCTTCTTTTTTTTTTGTCAACTACACCAGTTAGACGATTAGATCTCTAACATAAGACTGTCTGGTATAACTGGGTAATTATGGTTTATATTTCTATAACATTTTAACGTAGTTTTCCATCTCCATAATTTTGGACTTAGAATCTGTTAACCTTTATCACCGGCCACATTTTTTAAAATTCTAAACATTATTAATGTGATGAAAGATGTACTACCAGCAGTAAAAAATTGAATATAACAAGAAAAACAGAAAGCAAATAAGCGAATAGGGGTTGGAGTGTCAGAGGTCATCAGAGAAGGTCACAGGTTGCAACAATGTCTGGACAGGGCAAGAGAGTGTAAGCTGATTGGCTTGCTGGCTTGGCTACTATGGGAAGCAGACAAGCAACAGAGAGACAGATACTAGGACTGTTCTATGAAAGCAAGACAATTATGCAAAAAATGATGGCTGAATCTGCAGCCTTGACCAAACAATTCAAATCTAAAAGGAGGAAGCCTGACAAGTTTTCTGGGCAGGGGGCCAAAGATGAGGGATAAACCAGCACATCACTGATGTGGTCAGCAACCATACACTGAGACATACACTGAGACATACACTGAGGCATACACTGAGACATACACTGAGGCATACACTGAGACATACACTGAGACATACACTGAGACATACACTGAGACATACACTGAGGCATACACTGAGACATACACTGAGACATACACTGAGACATACACTGAGACATACACTGAGACATACACTGAGACATACACTGACTGAGACATACACTGAGACATACACTGAGACATACACTGAGACATACACTGAGACATACACTGAGACATACACTGAGACATACACTGAGACATACACTGAGACATACACTGAGACATACACTGAGACATACACTGAGGCATACACTGAGACATACACTGAGGCATATACTGAGACATACACTGAGGCATACACTGAGACATACACTGAGGCATACACTGAGACATACACTGAGGCATACACTGAGACATACACTGAGGCATACACTGAGACATACACTGAGGCATACACTGAGACATACACTGAGACATACACTGAGACATACACTGAGACATACACTGAGACATACACTGAGGCATACACTGAGACATACACTGAGACATACACTGAGACATACACTGAGACATACACTGAGACATACACTGAGACATACACTGAGGCATACACTGAGACATACACTGAGGCATACACTGAGACATACACTGAGACATACACTGAGACATACACTGAGACATACACTGAGACATACACTGAACATACACTGAGACATACACTGAGGCATACACTGAGACATACACTGAGGCATACACTGAGACATACACTGAGGCATACACTGAGACTTACACTGAGACATACACTGAGGCATACACTGAGGCATACACTGAGACATACACTGAGGCATACACTGAGGCATACACTGAGACATACACTGAGACATACACTGAGGCATACACTGAGACATACACTGAGGCATACACTGAGACATACACTGAGACATACACTGAGGCATACACTGAGGCATACACTGAGACATACACTGAGACATACACTGAGGCATACACTGAGACATACACTGAGGCATACACTGAGGCATACACTGAGACATACACTGAGGCATACACTGAGACATACACTGAGGCATACACTGAGGCATACACTGAGACTTACACTGAGACATACACTGAGACATACACTGAGACATACACTGAGGCATACACTGAGACATACACTGAGGCATACACTGAGGCATACACTGAGACATACACTGAGGCATACACTGAGGCTTACACTGAGGCATACACTGAGGCATACACTGAGGCATACACTGAGGCATACACTGAGACAGAAATCCAGGCACCTATGGACTGGATGGTCTGATATGCTGTAAGGATGATCTTAAAACTATTAGGTAAAATAACAAGTAAAAGACCCTTTTCCGTGTTTTCTAGCACATTGGGCATACAGTGCTAGACCTATATTTCATAAACCAATTGGCACTTGGCGGATAATGTGGTCATCAACAAGCCAGCTGCTTTTACTTCCCAGGACTTGTACCCGGTACCCACTCAAAGATGGTTCAATCTGAGAGCCAAGGTCATTTCTGAAAAATGTTTGGTTCCATCACAAGGCAAACCTACGACTGACAACTACTGACCTGACGCGCGCTGAGTTGAGTTGAGTCAAAAATTGACATCACAGCACTCGGGATTCCCATATGTGTTTTGTCCCCATCCTCAGCAGCCAGCACAGAGTTCCAAAACTAAAGGTGCCAGTTGTAGTCTTGTTGTAGGTCCATCTTGCTTTTTCTCTGAGCGTAGTGTGCGGCCGAATCCTCTGGTCACACCCAGGTGCATCATTCTCTCCAGTCCATAATAATCTAGTTTCTCTTCTGAGTTCGTTGCTTGTTCCCAAAGGGCCCTGTCGACATCTGCCTTGTCATTTATCAGTTCACCACCAAGCGATGCAGATCAAGCCAGTCTGCCTGCCTGTTCATTCCCCACCACACCAGCATAGTCTGGTCTAGAGAAAAGATCCAAAGTATGCTCACTATCCCTGACCTTGCAAGTGAAGCTTGCCACTCTGCTCGAAGCAATCTTGTCTTCACATTTTCCAGCATGCTTTCAGAGTCTGTTACAATTATGACATGTGTATGTATCTTGTTCTGACTTGACGATAATTATGTACCAGCTAACACAAACACAACAATAAATTCTAGAAAGATAAAGTGTAAGTGAACATAATTCATGGGTAAAAAACAACAATAACACTATTCCAACAAAACAACAACAACATTCAAAACAAGACATTACTTATATTTCTCCTGAATCATCTTCTGAGAGACATCATGGTATTTGCTATCTCTTTCATGTGTTGGTGCCTGCTGTTTGTATGCTTCCATTTTCTTTCGTTTTTCCTCTTCTGCTCTTTCAAACTTCTTCTTCACCAGATCTTCTGCTTCTGCCTCTCTCTGTTTCCTCTTGGCTTCCATTTCCTCTGTGTGACACAAGTAACTGCATGTTTTATATTTCAATTAAAACAAACACAAAAACTATAATTAGTTAGTTAGTTAGTTAGTTAGTTAGTTAGTTAGTTAGTTAGTTGGGTTTTCATCATTGCACTCCGGACATGTCCATAGGTGCTCAGATCCTCCTCTCAGTATGAACCCCAACATCCGATGGCTAATAGTACCAGTTCTATGTTGATTAACATGTCCTCTGGCGTGTCTGGTGTGCGTCTCGTTTTTTACTATGCCGATCTTAATTCCCAAGTCTGCCATTCTGGCGAGTGATGTGGATTAACTGCCATCAAAGTCCTCTATCCTTCCCATTTCTCTGAGCGCATTAATAATATCAGCATGATCCGTAGGCTGACGGTCGGTAGTGATCGTGGATCCAGCCAACCTGTCAGCTCTTTCATTTCCATCTACGCCTGCGTTTCCCGGAACAAAAATAAAGGTGACTCTACACACAGTGAACTTGTGTAACGATTCAAGCCATTGTACAAAAACTATAATGCCTATGCTCAGTGTCAAATATATATTTTCCAGAATATGTGCAAAATCAACTTTCATTTGCTCTTTGTTCTAATTATGAAAACCAGCAGAAAAGCCGTAAATCAACAGCATAGTTATCGTACACATCACATCGTTATTGTACACATCACTTCATTATTTTACACATCACATTGTTATCGTACACATCACATTGTTATCGTACACATCACAATGATCTACAGTATCATAGTTAACATAGTGCTTTATAACCCCATGACCTGCAGTGAGTATCAAAACTTCACTGCACCAGGTTTGATCTCATGGCTTCGTCTCTCTCTGCAGAATGGCTAGTTGCCTGCTAAAAGTGTCACACAATGCACAGACTCTATAGCTCCAGTGATGATTCACACAGATCTCCATTGAAATTGGACCAGTGGAAATCAAACAATGCAGTTTATGAAACCAACTAAGGACCCCCAGTGAGTACCGGTACCCATCAGCCTCAAAGATTGCTCAGCCCGACCTACCAATCATTACACTACAGCAGCATCACAGAATCATTGACAAACATTGAAAGGAATGTCAGCCAGATATCACTGGGCAGTGCTCATAAACAGTGATGGTAATGGCTTGAAACTAATGGTCGACTAAAATCTTGTGTTAGGTCTGAGATTTTGTCAGAGTTATTCTAAACTATGCAGATATTTATCTCTTCTCCTTGGTATGTTCCTATTACGTTTTACTGATGTTTTCCATTGAATTTGCTTGCAGTGTTGTCTCCTTGATGTTTTCCCATAAAGTTTGCTCTATGTCACTAAGATTGTAAGCTTATTTCGTATCTCTTCAGAGCATGCTAAACAAATGTTGACTGTCTTTATTCAATTTCTCTGAGTAATTTACAGTTTTCATAAATTTCTTGAAATACTTCCTTTTTCAACTGTCACTGTTTCTGTGCCATTCTTTGCCTAACCTACCACCAGTATATTGCAGCATTACTCACACAATTTAGACATTTCCATGTTGACCAAGATGTCTGTGTTCAAAACCGCATCAAGACAGATTTTCTTTGATTTGACCTTGGCTCCAGTTAAAAATGGGCAGCAGGAAGTGTCCTGGGAAGTAAAGGTGGCTGACATGATGTTAAGCACATCCCCTGTCGATCGCTGATTGGTCAATGAAAACATGTGTCTAGCATTCAATGCCGGGATGCACCGAAGATGTGGGAAGGAACTGTTATTCTATTTAATCAGCTATTCAAACCAATCTATTTACAGTGGCTTCGTGTAATATCAGTCTTAACAGTTAGAATGCATCATATGTGACAGCTGAATGTGCCTGGTCATGTGAGCAGACAGCTGGGATAGTTGGATGGCTGCAGAAAGTTCTTGTTGTAGTGACTATAGAAAACCATGTGACACAAAACAACAATAAAGAAACAACTCCCCATACATAATCTAAATGTCTAACAGTGCTGACCTCGCTGCTTTTCCCTGATCTCTCGTATCCGAGCTCGAATCTTCTTTCTCTCCTCAAAGTCCTCGGTGGCATTCATCTGTGAAATATTTAGTTAAATGTAAACTGAGTGGCAACTATAGAACTTGGACTGTCAACATGACATGAAACTTGTGAAGGTGAATACATGACAGCCTAGTAGTTTCCACTAACTGTTATTTTCTTGACCTGTAATGTTGACAAAGTGTGGAAGATATTCTGGCTTTATTATTCAATTCTACTGATTGCCAGAACAAACGTTCCTAAAGGCTGCAATGTTGTACGAGTTTCTAAGACAAGTGTTGTGAAGACCTGGGATATCTAGAGTAACTAACCAACAGTTGCCCGGGTAAAGCGCATGAAAGAAGAACTATATACGCAACCATCAGAAAGAGACAAGAGTTATATTATTTAGTCCTATAATAGGAACTGAGGTTTTGGGAAACATCATGAGGACTGGAAAAGTAGCATTAGAAGGAAGAGAGGTAGACCCAAACAAATGATTGTGCCACGTCTAAGATGTGGCTTAGAAAAATATCATTTTTTAAATGCATTCTCCCCGTCTGGGTTCCGAGGCCACATTGAAAAAAGGGGGTGGGGAAATAGACCCACTATTCTCTAAAAAGCATGCCAAAAAAGGCGACTAATTAAGAAGTTGCCGAATTTGGATATTCCAGGCCGAAAAGTGCAGATATCACAGTCTTGCTGTCAACCACAATAGCCTTTTTGAGGGCGAACACAGAGAAAGAAACTTATCCAAAACAACAAAATCCGAGATTTGTGGAGAGTGGTGAAAGCCTACGCCAGATGGCATAGCACTTGATAATAGTGCTATTATTACCTACTAGAGTGTCAGAGATAACCGTTTATCAATAAATGAACAAATTAACCATTTAGTCAATCCAAGTAACTAATTTACATGCGGGTAAAATATATCGGCCTTACAATGATGTACCCAGCCAGCATGTATATCACAGAGTCATTCACTCTATAATTGATAGTAGCTTGTGTAATTAACCGTAACAAATCTGCCATGAACATGCTGTTGTTACCATAACCTGAACACACTAGAAACTGTCAAATTGGATCTAAGGGATCGCTTTCAGTGTAAATATGAAAGTGTCATCTGTAGGCATTCGTGAGTTCAGCCACAAACGTACCATTTCCACTGATAGTTGTGTACTTTGATTGTTTGTTACGAGCAAACAAAGGGTGCATGCTTGCACTGCTCCAATGTCTACACGAGGCTAATGTGATTTGGGTGCTGTGGTGAACTGACACAACCCCTATCGAATATTAGGACGGTAGAATAGATTGGGAAATAGAAACAATATGTCAAGGAGCCAGTGCACTTATATACCAACTGATACCATTATTAAGACATCCAATCATAAGAATGAGCACAAAGAAACAGCGTATTCATACCAACGCTGTGCTACCAGTGCCAGACTTGGAAATTATCAAAGGCTAACCTACGTAAAATTAACACCTGTGAAATGAGATGCCTGAGAAAAGCCACCAACTTAACCATCCGACACAAAGTTAGAAATGATATAATCAGACACCGGGCGGGTGTTGCCGTTACCAGTGCCCTAATTATAACTTCCCTGGAGGTTGAACGGAGTCGCTGGCCTGACCACTTTAGTCAGTCATCAGCACTGAGATTTTGTTTAGTCTGACGGCGTGAACCGTTCATTGCTGTTGGTCTGTCTTCCAGACTAAGATCTGATCTCAGGGCGTTTTTATTTCGAGAAAGAGAATGCCTGTGACATAGGTTACAGCACTCTCTAGGGGGGGGGGGGGGGGGTGTTGTATGTTAGACCATGTTTCGAAATGTCTTTGTAGTGTTAAAAGCGCTGGCGTGCTTAAGTATATAACACGCGATGTCAACGGCATTGCCGAACACCCCCATAGCAGTGTGCGAAGGTTGGGTGACTGAAGGTGGACCAATCAGAAGTAAGCTAGTATGTATAAGGAAGGTCTGTGGGGAGACTTTCGTGGAACTAACCCACTTTTAAAACCACGACAAGTAGGGTGAGTCTCTCATAGGACGTAGGCTGAGCCCGTGGGCGGGGGGCAAGGGGATGGGAATGACAAAGCAAAACGATTACACGAATGATTTACAGCATTGAAGTGGGACTGCTCACAATTAAATTTACTCAATCCGTGGGCTGATTTTTTGTTTTAAAGCTGCTCCCCCCCCCCTTTTTCCCCGTTACCCCAACTCATTCTTTTAAAAGTTGCTAAAATAAACAGTTTTACCGGGTGCTTGGAGCCAGCGCTTTCGTTTGCAATTATCGTGGAACCCAACCAGACACAGCTACCCCAGTGGTTGCACACACCTGAACTACACACAGCGAGATTCTCCGACCCCCGTCTGCTTTACACGGGCACACATTTGAGCAGCTCTGTGTAGTTCAACGCTAACACGCGAGTCTAGAAATGTACATTTCGGCAATCTATGCCAATATTTCAAAAACGGGGAATAAATTGCATCCATATTCCAAAGCTCTGGCTAAAGTTGAATCATAGAATCTTTGTCAGGGTGGGAGTTCAAACACGCTTCACGCACATTTTCTTTTAGCCAGGTATTATCATCAGGAGGCCGGATCAGCACATCTTTAAATGTTTTTACTGTCTAACTCTAGGCACCATTTTGAATTTGCTTCGTTTCTCTACGTTTGTGAGAGTTGATCAATATGTGGTCAATTATTTCTTAATTCTAGTTAGATATGTATCTTTTACAGGACAAGGGATGCGTCGTCTCAAGGCATGGTGTCCGCCACGAGTACTTGAGATTCCGGGTTCAATCCCTGATAAGAGCTGATATTTTTTTCACGTGGACTTGGACTTCTAGCAATTCCCCTTGGTCTCTGGGTAGTGAGATCGGACGCCCGTGTGCATTGTTGAGCACGTTAAAAAAAAATCCCTTGGCAGTTAGAAATCGAAAAGAGTGGCCTAACGGCGCTGCCCGGGCAAACTTTTGAGTTAAAAATATACCCGAAGTATTTCAGGATCCTCACCGGTGCTACAGAGCCTGTGCACTGTGCTGAGCTTTTCGGACTCAGACATGAGTTAGAAGTAGAACTGAGCACTTATGGGTTACTACTTATGTGCCACGATGTTGGTCCGTTGTTCTAACTTCATTTACAGAACGTTGCAGTTCCAACCCCAGTATTTTATGTCTGCTTGTGATTTCATTAGGCAATTTTAAGTCAGTAGTTTGCCACTACAATTTGAATGGTTGGCTCTTAATACTGTTATTGAAACAACCACAAGGCCGTCTGCGACCAAATCGCCAGTATCCGGAATCGTACCCGGCTTCTTGCATTACGAAGCGCGTTCGCAACGCAGGGTTTCCTGTAGACTTTGCAAGCTTTGCCTTCCCATTTCTAGAGATTCAGTCACGTGACATTCACTGCTGGACTAGTTCTCTTCTTGTAGACAATATTCTGACGTTTTTCCTATTATATTACATAGCTGATGCTGTCCAGTGTACAACATGAGGCGGCTCTGAGGACTGACTGTCCCTATGTGAATATGATGCTGTCCAGTGTACACCATGAGGCGGCTCTGAGGACTGACTGTCCCTATGTGAATATGATGCTGTCCAGTGTACAACATGAGATGGCTCTGAGGACTGACTGTCCCTATGTGAATATGATGCTGTCCAGTGTAGAAGATGAGACGGCTCTGAGGACTGACTGTACCTATGTGAATATGATGCTGTCCAGTGTACAACATGAGGCGGCTCTGAAGACTGACTGTACCTATGTGAATATGATGCTGTCCAGTGTACAACATGAGGCGGCTCTGAAGACTGACTGTACCTATGTGAATATGATGCTGTCCAGTTTAGAGCGTGAGATAGCTCTGAGGACTGATATTACCTATGTGAATATGATGCTGTCCAGTGTACAACATGAGGCGGCTCTGAGGACTGACTGTACCTATGTGAATATGATGCTGTCCAGTGTAGAAGATGAGACGGCTCTGAGGACTGACTGTACCTATGTGAATATGATGCTGTCCAGTGTACAACATGAGGTGGCTCTGAAGACTGACTGTACCTATGTGAATATGATGCTGTCCAGTTTAGAGCGTGAGATAGCTCTGAGGACTGATATTACCTATGTGAATATGATGCTGTCCAGTGTACAACATGAGATGGCTCTGAAGACTGACTGTCCCTATGTGAATATGATGCTGTCCAGTTTAGAGCGTGAGATAGCTCTGAGGACTGATATTACCTATGTGAATATGATGCTGTCCAGTGTACAACATGAGATGGCTCTGAGGACTGACTGTCCCTATGTGAATATGATGCTGTCCAGTGTAGAAGATGAGACGGCTCTGAGGACTGACTGTACCTATGTGAATATGATGCTGTCCAGTGTACAACATGAGGCGGCTCTGAAGACTGACTGTACCTATGTGAATATGATGCTGTCCAGTGTACAACATGAGGCGGCTCTGAAGACTGACTGTACCTATGTGAATATGATGCTGTCCAGTTTAGAGCGTGAGATAGCTCTGAGGACTGATATTACCTATGTGAATATGATGCTGTCCAGTGTACACCATAAGCAGGCTCTGAGGACTGACTGTACCTATGTGAATACGACGACTTTTTTGGGGGTTGAACTGGAATATTGGGAGTATGCTCATTTCAAAAGAGGGTGGCTACCTCTGCTGGGAAGCTGGCCTTGCCCACATTAAGTGTGTCTCTGTGTTGCAATTAGTGTTTTTGATGTAGATTTGTTCGCCTGCTTTTTGTGCCTTCTTTAGCAAAACCTTCTGTAAACATACGTGTTCAAACACTGGAGAGAGACTAATTTCTGGGACATAAACTGAAAAATATCTTCGTTATGAATGTTTTTTTGTTTGTTTTGAAGATTATTCCGGGGACTTCCAAAACTGTACAGCTCAAGAATGGACACTGAAACCATAGTTCTGGTGTGAGAACCTTACACATCATTAGATCCGTTTCTATATTTGCTTGTTGTTGCAAAGTCTCTCTTGCACAATTATTTATACTCTTTATTTATAGTATTTTCTTCTTAAAATATATTGTTTGGAAGCCTCTTGAGCATTTTGAATTAGGTAAGATTTTCATTGTGGTTTTGATACACTACAATTCTTAGAATATCGTGTACCAAGAAGAAGAAAAACATCGGCAACATGCATGACCCGAACGTCAAGAATTGGCTCACAACAAGCATCCTGTCCCCAAAGCTGGGCTATTTTGGGTATTTCAAGCGCCACGCTAGTGTGGCGAGAACTCTCAAGCGTCACGCTAGTGTGACGAGAATTCTCAAGCGTCACGTTAGTGTGGCGAGACTCTCAAGCGTCACGCTAGTGTGCGAGAACTCTCAAGTGTCACGCTAGTGTGGCGAGAATTATAAAGCCCCACGCTAGTGTGGCGAGAATTATAAAGCATCACGCTAGTGTGACGAGAACTCTCAAGCGTCACGTTAGTGTAGCGAGACTTTCAAGCGTCACGCTAGTGTGACGAGAACTCTCAAGCGTCACGCTAGTGCGACGAGAACTCTCTCAAGCGTCACGCTAGTGTGCCGAGAACTTTTTAAGCGTCACGCTAGTGTGACGAGAACTCTCAACGTCACGCTAGTGCGACGAGAACTCTCAAGTGTCACGTTAGTGTACCGAGAACTCTCAAGCGTCACGCTAGTTTGGTGGCGTCACGCTAGTGCGACAAGAACTCTCAAGCGTCACGCTAGTGTGGCGAGAACTCTCAAGCGTCACGGTAGTGTGACGAGAACTCTCAAGCGTCACGCTAGTGTGGCGAGAATGGTGATGGAGTTGCAGTTTCCAGAGAACAAGGCAGAGGCCGACTTCCAAGATGGTGGGTACAGGACACTGAAGATGTATTGGCTATGAAAGCACAGAGAGCTGCAGAATTGGATAGAGAAGGAGAGACTTTTAGGCATGCCGTGAAGATAGCGACGTTTTGTAAAGGAACAGCGGATTGACTTATTGCTGGATTGATTGACTGAAGGGATTTGTACTGTCCACGGGCGTGCTTCTCATTGCTCTGTGTGCTATTCGTAAACTCAAATTTTGAACTTCAGATATGTTTCACAAGTTCAATTTCGCTGCTTCAACCCATGAGATTGAAGTGTAAAAGGCTTACCTGCCCTGGTGTAGACAAGCATTCCTGTTTTTATACTGGCTCTCGAGTACGTTCCACGCAGATTTTGTTTTCATTTCAGCGAGTTTTTACACATTTTGACTGGAATCGATTTTCTGCGATATTTATCTGCATCACATTGAGACAAGTACCAACGGTTTATCGAAATAATCTCTCTCTCTCTCTCTCTCTCTCTTGCTCCCGGTGCCATTTTTTTTTAATTCGATGCTTCCCAGCTACACTTGAGGCTGCTCCTGCCCCCCCCCCCCCGAGCTTTCAGGACCTAACAGGAGTGTTGGGAACAGATAGACACAATGGCTAGCTGTGTACCAATTGGGTGGTCAGTTTATGCATGAAGAGCTTGATGTAGTCAAGGCCTTTTTGAACAAGTTAATAATAGCGAATAGGTCATTATGATTGGAGTGAACAGTACAGCTAGAAGTGACAGGGTATCCGGTCGGCAAATTTCACAAGACGGACATATAATCAAACTGCTATTGGCACCGTTGGAAATGAAACTTATCACTTTGAGGATGATGACGGATCGCTTATGGGAACGTCCCGAGTGCTTTAATGTCAATTCTTAGCTCACAGCTCAAGTTTCACGATCAAAATAGATCCCCCCGAACCGATCTGCAGATTGGTATCAAGCATTCCATCGTGTTTACACTAGAGGCAACAATCTTTCGGACATCTTGCAATTTGTTGGTAACAAGTTTAAGAACACATCCACAGACAAGTCAGTGAAGTTGTCAAATTAGACGCTTGGACTGTGAAACCAAAACGAGTGATCGTGCAGTTTGTTGTAGAAAACAAATGCAATGGTATCAGAAAAAGGGGATCTATCCTGTACTAAGCAAAGGCACAATGTTCTTTTGAACATGGAGTCTACGAAGGCATACACGAAGACCGAATGGATGGTAATGACACTTAACGGTTTAATTTTTAGACCGGAGTCGAATAACACTTCATGAATTAATTTAAAATTAAAGTCAACGGCAGGCCACCTAATTAATTTAATTTAGCCTAACTCCATATGTATCCAAGTTAAAATAGAATGGCAGATAACACGCTATTATTATCAAGTCCTGGTTGCACTGGCTGCTGAAGCTAGGATGGAATGGTTATGGAAATGCCCCGTGTATTGTGATGTCGATTTTAAAGTGGACTGGACTCAAAGTCATGTAAAAAAAAAATATCACATGACAGTATCAATGAACCAATCACATGACTCACCAGTTTGTGAAGCTCCTCCTCATCACTGATGGTGTCGTAGGAAGGCATGATGGGAAGTCTGGAGGCAGGGACGGTGGACTTCCTCTGTGGATAAAGATGGCGCCAAAAGGTTTACAACTTTTCTTATAGTAGGTAAAGTAAATAAAGAGCCACTGATCGCGCCTTCAGGCACATTAGACATACAATGCTAGAACTATACTTTATAGACCAATCGGCACTCCGTGGGTGATGCGGCCAGCACCACGCCGGTCGCCTTTACTTCCCATGACTTTACATAGTACCCAGTTGAGGCTTGGTCGACTCGCGAGCCAAGGTCATTTTTTAAAATGTAGTCAGGGACTAGGGTCCCACTATAACTTTACGGTTGGAAAGGGTTTCAGGGACTTGCGCCTGGGTGATCCTCATCTGAATGGTGGCCCTGTGTTTCACTGGATGTTGATCGCTTGTTTGACTGTCCGGGTGGGATTAAATCACATACATACATATGCTAAACTGCCAAGTTAGAAGAGTAACACAAGCAATGGCATCTATAAATTACATACGGGATGACCAAACCGTCTTGGTGCCGGGGGTGTGGGGGGCTTCTTTTAAGGAGAACTGAGCCGAACCCTTCCCAGTCCACACCTCCAGATATTTTATAAGAAGAGTTACGGTGCATGACAAGCAACAACTGCAGTGTTACACTTTTATAACAAATACCACAGTTACTGGTTCTAAGACCATGCCAGTAGTGACACATACAAGCTAACAGTTTCCACTCACGTGAGTATACTTGAACGGTTACAAGTGTTTTCCACAGGTTTATGAAGCAAACTACACCATAAATGATTGGAGTGTAAAGGTGGTTATTGCAGCTTTTACGTGCTTGCCTGAAACTATATATGTGTGCTGCGACTTTGAAGCTTCATAGGTGTGATGTTACTTTAAAGCTTCATATGTGGGCTGTTACTTTGAAGCTTCATATGTGGGCAGATGCCCCAAAACTTCACCATCAAGCGTGGATCATACAACTCTAACCTTGCACCACCATAGTGCCCTTACCGTGCACAACATACTGCTCCTACCGCGCATACCATATTGCTCTTACCGTGCACACCATACTGCCCCTGTCGTGCACACCTTACTGCTTTTATTGTACATAACACACTGCTCTTACCGTGATCGTGCACCACCACACTGCTCTTATGGTGCACACCTTACTGCCCTTGTCGTGCACACCATACTGCCCTTGTCGTGCACACCATACTGCCCGTACCTGGCACCCCATACTTCCCTTGGCGTACTCACCATACTGCTCTAACCGTGCACACAATACTGCTCTAACCGTGATGCACACCATACTGCTCTAGCCGTGCACACTATACTGTCCTTACCGTGCACAACATACAGCCCTTACCGTGCACACCATACTGTTCTTACCGTGCACACCATACTGTTGTAAGGTTTCTCTATTTATTTTTATTTAAAAATCGCACCTAAGTATATTCAAGCTCAGAGTTCTTTATTTTGTTTGTTTACCCCATCTCGGAGAATCAGAGAGTTCCAGGGGAAAGTACAATATTAAGGGGGTTAGGGTTAGTGTCAGTAGGTGCTAATTTCACACAATAACACCCCTATAATATAAGACTTTCCCTCGGAACTCTCGGATTATCCAAGATAAAGTTAAAAAGAAATTCGTTATATATACTATTTCTTGACCATATTTCCTTCTTAAAATGAATGGTTTGGAAGCCTCTTAAGCATTTACATAAATATGCTAAACTGCCAAGTGAGATTAGTAACACAAGCAATGACATCTACAAATTCCATCCGGGATGACCAACCCGCCTTAGAGCCAGAAGGGTGCTTCTTTTAAGGAGAACTGAGCTGAACCCTCCCCTGTCCATATCTCCAAATATTTACCGTGCACACAATACTGCCCTTACCGTGCACCTACATATGCACTCACAGTAATGACATAAGGACTGCAAGGATACTAGTGGTGTCAACAATAAGTGTTAACACACTGCCACGAGAATACCATGAGCCATATACCACAGTAGACTAGAAGGGGAAACAATAAGTGTAAACACACTGGCTTGATAATACCATGCGCCATATTACACAGTAGACTAGAAAGGGAAATAATGAGTGTAAAAACGCTGGCTTGATAATACCATGAGCCATATACCACAGTAGACTAGAAGGGGAAACAATGAGTGTAAAAACACTGGCTTGATAATACCATGCGCCATACACCACAGTAGACTAGAGGGGAAACAATGAGTGTAAAAACACTGGCTTGATAATACCATGTGCCATATACCACAGTAGACTAGAGGGGAAACAATGAGTGTAAAAACACTGGCTTGATAATACCACGCGCTGTATACCGCAGTAGACTAGAAGGGGAAACAATGAGTGTAAAAACACTGGCTTGATAATACCATGCGCCATACACCACAGTAGACTAGAGGGGAAACAATGAATGTAAAAAGACTGGCTTGATAATACCATGTGCCATATACCCCAGTAGACTAGAGGGGAAACAATGAGTGTAAAAACACTGGCTTGATAATACCATGCGCCATACACCACAGTAGACTAGAGGGAAAACAATGAGTGTAAAAACACTGGCTTGATAATACCATGTGCCATATACCACAACAGACTAGAAGGGGAAACAATGATTGTTAAAACACTGGCTTGATAAAACCATGTGCCATATACCACAGTAGACTAGAAGGGAAAACAATGATTGTTAAAACACTGGCTTGATAAAACCATGCGCCATATACCACAGTAGACTAGAAGGGGAAACAATGAGCGTAAAAACACTGGCTTGATAATACCATGCGCTATATACCGCAGTAGACTAGAAGGGAAAACAATGAGTGTAAAAACAGTGGCTTGATAAAACCATGCGCCATATACCGCAGTAGACTAGAAGGGGAAACAATGAGTGTAAAAACACTGGTTTGATAAAACCACGTGCCATATACCACAGTAGACTAGAAGGGGAAACAATGATTGTTAAAACGCTGGCTTGATAATATCATGCGCCATATACCGTAGTAGACTAGAGGGGAAACAATGAGTGTAAAAACACTGGCTTGATAAAACCATGCGCCATATACCGCAGTAGACTAGAAGGGCAAACAATGAGTGTAAAAACACTGGCTTGATGAAACCATGTGACATATACCAAAGTAGACTAGAAGGGGAAACAATGAGTGTAAAACACTGGTTTGATAAAACCATGTGCCATATACCAAAGTAGACTAGAAGGGGAAACAATGATTGTTAAAACGCTGGCTTGATAATACCATGCGCCATATACCGTAGTAGACTAGAGGGGAAACAATGAGTGTAAAAACACTGGCTTGATAATACCATGTGCCATTTACCACAGTAGACTAAAAGGGAAAATGAATGTAAACACACTGGCTTGATAATACCATGCGCTATATACCACAGAAGACTAGAAGGGGGAACGAGTGTAAACACACTGGTTTGATAATACGAATGCGCCATATACCTCAGTAGACAAGAAGGGGAAAAAATCAGTTTAAACACAGTGGCTTGATAATACGATGCGCTATATACCACAGTAGACTAGAAGGGGAAACAATGAATGTAAACACACTGGCTTGATAATACCATGCCCCATACATAGCAACAAAGTGACATGTAGACAGGGGAATTATTTATTATTATTTTATTATGTTGGAACTGACCATCATTGGGGACAAAGTGACATAGAGGGGCCATCAGACAGTATTGTATATAGGGACAACATTAGCTTTCATATACTTAATGATTACCTGATGCCTACTAAACACATACGTTCGGTTTTTTTCCAGCTCTGACGTCTATTTCAGTCGATTAAATAGTGAATGAATGAGTGAATATAAAAATAAGTAATTACGGGTTTGTTAAAGTAAGGTCCGTACCTAGATCAGGAGTCTCTACAAGCCAATCATAAATCACAAGCATGTATTTATACAGATGGGGAATCTTCCTTTTGCTGCCAATTCTACACGGATTCCAATTTAAATCCAGTGACAGCTACATCAATGCAGATATGTTCTCTACGATACACTCAGAGCTGACAGATAAATGTGCAGAAGTTTCACAGAGCCCGCACACATGGAGTCATCCCCAGAATATTGGCACGTTTCACAGAGGCAGCACATATGGAGTCATCCCCAGAATATTGGCACAAGTTTCACAGATCCCACATACATGGAGTCATCCCCAGAATATTGGCACGTTTCACAGAGCCAGCACACATGGAGTCATCCCCAGAATATTGGCACAGGTTTCACAGATCCCACATACATGGAGTGATCCCCACAATATTGACACTTTTCACAGAGCCAGCACACATGGAGTCATCCCCAAAATACTGGCACAAATTTCACAGAGCCCGCAAACATGGAGTCATCCCAAAAATATGAGTACAAATTTCACAGAGCTCGCACACATGGAGTCATCACCAAAATATTGGCACACGTTTCACAGATCCCACATACATGGAGTGATCCCCAAAATATTAGCACAAGTTTCACAGATCCCACATACACGGAGTGATCCCCAAAATATTGGCATGTTTCACAGAGCCCGCAAACATGGAGTCATCCCCAAAATATTGGCACGTTTCACAGAGCCCGCACACATGGAGTCATCCCCAAAATATTGGCACAAGTTTCACAGAGCCCGCACACATGGAGTCACCCCCAAAATATTGGCACCAGTTTCACAGAGCCCGCACACATGGAGTCACCCCTAAAACATTGGCACTAGTTTCACAGAGCCCGCAAACATGGAGTCATCCCCAAAATATTGGCACGTTTCACAGAGCCCGCACACATGGAGTCATCCCCAAAATATTGGCACAAGTTTCACAGAGCCCGCACACATGGAGTGATCCCCAAAATATTGGCATCGGTTTCACAGATCCCACACACATGGAGTCATCCCCAGAATATTGTCCACACAAGGTCCACCAGAAATTCACCCAGTACAAGTCTGTATTGTCCACATGTAAATATATGAAGAAATACGTTCAGTCATCAATGTTACAAGAGAGGTGCCCGCACATA